AAAGGAAGAAAAGAGATCAGCAGCAGGATGGTCGACGGAGCCAGAAATCGGTACCCTCAACCCGTGGACCCTCAGAGGAGGCAGCATCAATGAAGTCCATGACCTGATTGAGAACTCCAGGCGTAGGGCGATACAAGCGCTGGAGGTCAGCAACTGTGATCTCATCTTCATCGAGGCCAAAAAGGCGCTCGGAGGCAGTCGGAAGACGAGGGCCAAACGTGAGCTCTGAGGGTCTAGCTGCCTCATAGTGTTGCCACTGGCCCTTGCGAACCTTGCGCCTACTCGCAAAGTCCTCCCTCTCAACCTGCCTAAGATGCTCTGGACTCATGGGCGGAAGCACATGGACCACCCGAGCCAAACACTCCTTGGAGCTCTTCAAGTGGTAGTGGAGCCTGTCGACACTGTGAAAGAGCTTCAGGCAGCTTTGGCAAACCGCTGTCCAAGCAAACAAACGCACAGGACTGATCATGCCGTGTCGCCGGGCCTCATGTACTGCTTGATGCTTACGCAGTACAAAGGTCGCCTCACGCCAACGACATGCATACGGACGGAGCTCTCCCCCAACAGCAAGGGGAGAGCCCCTGCCAGCTGTATCCGTGCGTTGGGCCCATCGCTCAAGATCTGCCCCGTACGCCCGAATGGCCGCCCGGAGTTGCCCGACCCACCAAGCGGGCGTATCCTGAGTAGCCTCGATGAGAGCTGTAACCGGGCAAGCCTGCCCCAAGAGCGCCGTAGCACCTGGCTGATACACTGCGACAGCACGAATGTCGTACAAGAGCTGGCCCAACCAGGCTCTAGAGGGGTCAGTTCGCCAATGAACGTGCAGCATGTGAAGGACTGTGCCTGGCCCGTGTTTGAGGAGCCTCTGAAGGAGAACTCCTCTCATGAGGGCCACGGCGAGTGGTGGAGAGGGCGCAAGTGCCTGCCTCAACACCTGGAAGCTGTGAGGCTGTTGCTCCGGTGTGGTCCACCGACACAAACCTTGCCAAAGTCTGACAAAAGACCGGTCCCATTGTCGGCAGTGAATGGCAGTATGCAAGGGAAGGATGGCCCCCGCGAAGACAAATCTGGAGATAACCAAACTTCGCAGAAGGGTGCGGCGGATGGTCAAGGGAATCTGCCCTGCCGCGAACAACTTGCCTCTCAACGGCCGCATCATACCGGCTGCTTGAGCATACCGGAAAGATATTTCGGCGGTGGGCACTCCATTCGCCGTGAGGATTCCCCCCAAATGTCGGTAAGCATCTACCGCAGGCAACTTGCAATGGGACTGCAGGACACTGTTGTAAACGGGGAGGCATGTGCCCAAGGCGGGGTCAGTGACAAATTCTGGAAGCCCGGACAGCTGGCAGTCTGACGAGAACATAACTGCAGTTTTGTCCCTGGCAAACGAGACTTCCATGCCGACTGCCGACGCCTGAGAGATTAAGATCCCCGTAGCGGCACGGACACGTTGGACCAGGTTCACAGCCGTGGTCCCAACCTGAAGCATGACATAATCATCGGCCCAGGAGGCCACACCGACATGCTCAGGCTCCTGCCAACCTATGCCATGGAGGAGCACTGGCACTTACAGGGCATGGGGTATGCAGAGATGCTGCTTGCAGTGCCTTTTCAGCACAGCGCACATACGCCGAGAACGTAAACGCAAAGAGCAAATCCGCAAGAGGGTCACCGGGGCGACTGCCGCGCTCCGTCATGACCAAGGCAGCTGCCCCGTCTAAACGAAACCAGGTCCCACGCAGAAGGTCTGCGACCATGGTGGTAAGGTGTGCTCCAGCACCCGCCTCAGCGAATTGTGCCGCTGCCGTAAGATGGTCATGCAGTTCCGCCACAGCATCCCCGGGCACACCCAAACCTTGCAACAGAGCTCGAAGGGCCACATCATCAGAAGCGGAGGGTACCAATGCCTGACGCAAGGTCATGTAAAACGCGGTTTTCACGTCAAAGAACACTAGTGCGGTTTTTTGACCATCCTTCCGAGCCCACGCCTGAAAGGACCGCACCATCAAGGAGATGCTTTCGACACCAATTCCCGGCATCTGCCCAGCCTGCAAATCCGCTCGGACAGTGGCGAAAGAGGCCATGAGCTTATCTCTCAGGATTCGATGGTACACCTTACTGGGCACACTGCCTAGTAAGATCGAACGAAAGGCCTTGCACTCAAAAAGAGTGGACGCCTTCTTCGCGAGGCACATGAGGGCCCCACCCCTCCAGACTGCAGGCTCCTGCAACCTAAGGGCCGTCTTCAAGTAGAGGGGATACATCAGTCGGGCCGAAAACACAGACATGACAGCAAGCTTCGGGACAATGAGTGTGTCAATTTGGAGCTGCAAGACCGCAGCTGGTTAACTCAAAGTGTAACCCCCAGTCGACTCCGTGGCCGGAGCTGTAAAAATGTTGCTCAGATCCACCCCCGCTCCCTTTTGAAACGCCCTTTCCGCCCAAGCGGAGGGGGCGTCTCGAACCCGCTAGATCGCTAGATCCTTTCAGACGCACTCCGGAATAGACCTGCTCTAGGAGACAATTGGACTATGGAGTGTCCAACCAACGGGCAACAAGGTTCGTGGCTCTGCACTCACGCCTCGTCAGCACAGGTGTTCGTGCCTTAGTGTTCGGATAACAATGCAATCCATCCGATGAGTCTGTTGAGCCCCGTGCCCCTTTGCATGCAAACCCAGATCCGCACTAACAACAACCAGATTCTTACACAAATGACTTGTTATGATAAGCAGCGCACTTTCGATCCGCACTAACAACAATCAGATTCTTACGCAAATGACTTGTTATGATAAGCAGCACACTTTCGAGAGAGGCGGCTGCGCTTGCGTACAAGCGTCGGGCGTATCGCACATCATGCGGTCGGCGAGAATACACATCACCCCAGTGTGGATGCTGGTCAAGGAATTACACATCAGTGGCGAGAATACACATCAGCAGATGTGTAGACGCTGTGTTTTAATCTCCAAGTGGCGGAAGCTCAAGTTTCAGGATATGCCGCGGACGCTGGGATTTCACGCGCTTGCCATAGCATTCGAGAGCACATTTTGGCACCGAATCCCCAAGTACAGGCTGCGTTCTCCCGTCACATGATTCGATGAGTCGTTGCCCTGGGTCTCCTAAGCACTCGAGATCCACATTCCGAGTTTTGATCCTTTGGCTGCAACCGCGGTCCACGTATCGAGATCTTTGGAGCAACACCAACTCAACTTGGCCACATATCCGCCAGCCACCAGGGCTGAGGGCTGGAGCACAACATGTGCAGTCCTGTTTCTGATTCCAAGATACCCAGCCCAACTACACCAGAATTAGCCAATCCCCACGCAGACGCTCGATTACGCAAGTCTGGCCCGCGAGACATACATCCGTCACATCACTGGCACCCCCATACAACGAAACCAGCCACTCCCCATGGGGACGCTCGCGTCACAAGCGCAGGCTCATGACACACATCAATGGCGTCACAGCACACCCAAACCAGCCATTGCCCATGTAGGTCTGCCTCTGTCTAGCTATGTCCTATGCCTGTCTGTCTGTCTGTGCGTTGTGCCCGGCGTAAATGGGGTTAACGATACTTTTGGGTGTGATCCGATGCCACTGAATTACCCACCCCCATCAATTTGTACGTCATCGCAGGTATGGCCAGCAAATCGCAACCAGTCAGTCCCCACGCAGACGCTAGGCACAAGTGGCATCACAACATGTGCCCAAAACCAGCCATTCCCCATCCAGGCGCTCGATTCCAGAAGCGCCCAATCGAAACGCACAGCAGTGGCATGACAGCACGTCAAAACCAGCCACTCCCATTACCTAGACGCTCGATCCCACAAGCGCACACTCGAGAACTCGAGACGCGCGTCAGTGGCAGCACACCACAGTCACCAAAACCAGCCGAGATTGGCTTGAAGTCCTAGCCATAAGCAACCAGTCGAGACGAACACACCACATCCAACCCAGCGCTCGCTGCACAAGCACACACTCGAGACGCACAGTAGTGGCGTGACAGCACATCACAACCAGCCGATGCGAGCGTATTTCAACCCAGCTTTGTGAGATAAAGCGACCACTTGTAAGTAGCTGGTTGTCGTGTCTTTAAGTTGTCCATGCAAACAACCGCAACCGATATCTATTGAAGAGAGGTAGTAGTACGTCGGATAGACACAAGTTAAGTTCAAGTTTTGTAGCTGGCGGACACTCCGTTTCTGCATCTGAAAGGCTGGGCAATGCAGCAAGATTGCTTCTCGATTCCCGACATGCTCGCGAAACCCCAAACCTCAAACCCACCTTCTCGACCACAAGACCCTGAAACTCTCAGCGATTCCATGCTGGCTTGCCCCGAGCCACAGAAGAGCGACGCGTACTTTTCGCGCCTAACGGCTTGGACAACATGTTTTCGGACTCTGTGGTAAGGTTTAGGCTCAGTGATTCCCACAACAGTTGCGACATGTCCCTGCGGGTGAAGTTCCAGGCCTCTCCGCCTTGAGCGCTTTGCTGCGCACGCGGTCGTGCACCTCAAAGCGCAGCAATGGAGCGGGGTGGGATCTGGGGTTGGGGTCTTAAGGACAACCAGTTATAAGGCTGCTACCACACGCACCCTCTGCGCCTTGAAGAGGCTCCCTCCTGCAATATTGGGTTAGGCAGCACGAGCAACCCCTGGGCAGCTGCCATCCCTAAACCCGGAACCCTAAAACTAAACCTAAACTTCAAAACCCCAAACCCCAAGCAAAGCATCCCATGCCATTTGGGGATTGCCATTTGGGGATAACCCCTGGCTGCCCCAACTCATGGCGCCTGCGGCGAAGTCCACGATACTCTGCTGCTCCTTTGCGGAACTTAGGGTTTAGGGTTCAAAGCAGAGAGCTTATGGCTCATGGCTCCGGCCTCTGTATAGGAGACCACGACCTGTGCGTTGAAGAGGTGGCGGATCTGGTCCACGAACTCCTGGCTGCAAAGCCACACACAGGTCTGGAGATGAAGCGGCCATCTCCTGTGGAAGGCAGCCACTGCCGTTTCGGATGAATCGCACGCGATGAGCAAGCTCCAGCACCTGTGCGGTGTTTGCTGGTCACACCCTTGGCCCGACTGCACTTGCATTCAGATCTTCGCTCCACCCTTGGACCTGCTCCCCTTGTTGCTCGATAATCTGCTTGTGCATCTCCGGCACAGCCGTGTACCTGCGATGTGAGTCGCTTCGTGTTCACCGTCAGTGAGTAATAGTCACTCTACAGTTGGAGGATGTTGGATGTATAATTGCACCAACATTTTTCCACGATTCACCAAGAGTTCCGGCAGGGTACCAGCTGACACCCTGCTTCAAGACAACGTTCCAGTGATTTGTCGCATTGAACTTCGAGAAGATGACGGTACCTGCACGCTTTTCGCATGGGTCGGGTCTGTGGCTTGCAAATGACCTCGGCTTTGACAAAACGCCGAGATACACTGACCAAGTGGCAGGGCACCGGCACTGGCGAGGGTCGACAGTAATGGTGTTACCAAACCGTCCTCCGTGACCATGGGCTGCGAGATGTAAGTTCTTGGCGCGCAGCAACAATGACGCATACTGCTGGAACTGGATATTGCAGCAACTCTGAGACATCGGCATGTCGTCCTCCGTGAGCTCGTAAGCATCAATGACGGTACCAATAGCATCCGCGACATTGCGCCTGCATAATTCATGGCCAGCACTTGGTTGACGCACCTGACTCTTTTCAATCCTCGCCTTGTCAGTGGAATAGACTTCGGCTTGCCAGTGCTGCCGGAGGTTCGTAGCAGCAGCACGGTGTCCTGATGGTGATATGGAACCGTCCGAATGGCGGCAGAATAAAGGCACAGTATAGCTAGGTCACCACAATCACAAGACACATGCGGCCAACGAGCCACGACCGGAACACGCTGAGGCACACCCAATTTGCGAGTTTATGTTGCCTGGATTATCAAGTATTCTTTCTGCGAGGCTTGTGAGGAACCGGATGCTTGTGAGCGAGTTAGTGAGAAACCTGGCGGGGAGGGACCTCACAGGGTCGGAGGGCCAGGAGCTGTGGGGCAGGGCCGAGGGGAGCGACACCAACACCCTCACAAAAAACGTCACAGCACACCTCACAGCGAACCTCGCAGATCTCACAGGACTTCCTGGACCACACAGCTTCTATTACAGGAAAACTCACAGGATTCTCACAGAAAAAGGTTCTGGCTTCTCTCCAGAGCGCAGACATTCCAGGGATAGACAGTCACAAGACTGAATAACCGCTTCCCCCTAACAATACCCCCCCTAATATTAAAACAGGGATAGACAGTCACAAGACTGAATAACCGCTTCCCCCTAACAACACCCCCCTAAGATGAAAACTGTCGGCCCCCGAAATTCGCGGTTTCGGGTCCACAGTTGAAAGTTAATTAAAAACATTAGGGGGGGCCTAGGGATTGTATGAGTTTTAATAGAGCCAAGACTACAGTAGGACTAAACCAAAGGACCAGAGCTGTAGGGTTTAGGGGTTAAGGGCTCAGGGCTTAAGGCTTTAGGGTTTAAGGCTTAGGGTTTAAAGCTTAGGGCTTAAGGCTTTGGGGCTTAGATGTTTAGGGCTTGAGGCTCTGAGGCTCAGGGCTTGGGCTTTGGGGCTTAGGGGTTAAGGCTTGAGGCTGTGGGGCTCCTAAGGCTTATGGCTAACGTCTACAGTAACCCGACTCATACCCGGATGCGCCGAAACCCTCCCCAATATACAAACCAAACCCCCGGATTGGAGTTTTTATATTAGGGGGGTTTAATATTAGGGGGAAACGATTAGCAAACCTGGGTTCCTGTCCTCTGGAAGAGTACTTCTGGACGTGTGAGTTGGCGCTTCCTGAAAAGGGACAGGAGAAAACGGTCTGACCAAGGCTTGTCTCTGTGTGCGTGGCATGCGCCATGTCGTCCTTGTCTCGCCGAAGCTGCACCGACGGGCAGGCCAGGTCTGCACAAAAAGACAGCCGCCAGGTGGGCACGCCTGGGCTTGAATTTTGCATGTTGACATGGCATCGACTCGAAGGCCGAACGCCTCGTGCTGCTGCCACAGCCGTGAAGGTGGTCACCTCAGTGCTTCATTTCACGAACATTTCCTTCTGTCATTCCGAAGTTCGGGTCGTGTGCGGCATCTCGACTTTGCGCGTCCAGAGATGCCACATCGATCTCCGGAAAGATCGCCACCTCCACCTGCAGGAATGCGCGCTTTCTCGGCCTTCCGCTTCTGCTTGAACAGAGA